ACATGAATGTAAATTGTGTTGTAAGAATGCTGCTTTGATTCTTTGAAGTATGTTAGTGGTGTTACTTGTTTGGGTCACTGTAGTAATCCTTGCATTTGATATAGAGCCTTATTGGGTCTTCTAGACATTTCATAGACTCCCTCATATGATAAAGGATAGGAAATCGCTGCACATTGAATACTCCCCCTTTAAAGAAAATATTACCATCTGGACTTATCCCTAGCAGCAGGACTTATAGGGATAAAATCTGGGAAAAAAATTAAATTATACATAATAATACTCGTTGCATTTGATTTAATGCCTTATCAGAGCGCTTCAAAGTTTTTCTGTGAATTGTAGTGACTGTATATTTGTAGGCAATTCCTGCAGACAATTTGCACACAGCAATGTTCAACAGACAGCAATATCCACACAACAAACACAGTAATCTGTGCAGGGACCTCATGACTGCACCAGATTTGCCAGTGTAAGGCAGGTCCTGGCTGTGAACCTGTGTGTGTATGTGTGGCTACATCGCCATCCCGTGGCAATATTAGGTCAGAACATTTGAAGAAATGGGTGAATCTATAATTATTATACCTTACCATGGAAAGCAACACCCAGAGGTAGCTGTTAGGTGAATAGATTTTTTTAAAAAAAAGTATTACCCTTTGAATGAAACACCACCCACACACAATTCTGACTAAACTTCACTGTACAAAGAATGCATCAGTTAAAATCTAACCCTTTAAAACAAAATCTAAAAACATGCTCCACAGGCCGTCTGTGCACATCTCAGTTTACGCTAGCATCTCTCTCATCTGTGTGACATTACGCATATGAAAGGCACAGATGGAAGTGTTCTTTAAATTACTGGGCAAAAAATTGCTCTATACATATTAAAGATACATTTACAAAGGAAACATCTTCAGAAACTCTCAAAAGATGTACACGAGTTTTTAAAAAAATCTTATTTCAAGAAAATTCAGGAGGATCTGGAGTTGGGATGGGGATGGGGGAATGCCACTTACATCTTACTTAACAATGAATGAAATCAATCATTAGAAGCAGAATGGTTGATTTGTATTAAACTAATCAAATAAATGACAACCAGCACGGTTTCAGAAGGGGTAGATGTCAGCTGACCAACAGCAACAACTATTTCAATTCATTTTTTCTGTAAATTATTTTAAGAACTACAGAAAATTGACTTTGAAGTTAAAACTGAATTCAACAATTTGCCACATTCCTCACTCAAAATTTTTACATAAACAACGTAAATCTATGTCCAGGTGGAATTTCTCCCTTTAGTAGATTTGGAACTGGTCCCTCATAGCCTCACCCCCCAGCCTTTACGACCTCCTGCACTCCTACCACCCATTGCTCCCTTCGCTCAGCAAACCTCCAGTCTGCTTCATGTCCACCCCCACTATCAGTAACTGGGCATTTCAGCCATTCTGCTCCCTCTCTGGAACTCTCTCCTGGAGTTCCTCCACACATCGCTTCAATCCCACCTTGAAAGCTTGCCTAAAGAACTTCCTTTTCGACTATGTTTTGGGTTACCTTTCCCCATCTTCCTCAGCTCCCCCCATCCCCCAGCTCGGGCTCCCAGTTGTCTCGGTGAAGGGCTTTGAGACGTCCTCCTGATGTGAAAAGCATTATATAAATGTAAAATTGCTGTTATTAAGGGAAAGGGAGTAGAGGGTACTTGTTTGGATAGTTTCTAGGTTGAATGGGATCAGTATTCAGTTGGGTGTCTCAATTCAATCATTCTCTGTATAAAGCACAAATATTTTATGTAATTATAAAATAACAAGATTACATTTGTATAAATGGTCTGTGCTCAGTTATATACCTAAAATATAATAATAATCTTTGCATTCTTGTGGAGTCCTGTAGCTCAGTGGTTAGAGCACCCGCCTTGCAAGCGAGAGACCTGAGTTCAATTCCAGGCAGGTCAGGGCGAAACCTTGGGCAAGTTTCCTTACTCCACACGCCTAATAATAATCCCTCCAAAAGAAAGCAATAATAAATTGGTCATTTTCAATCCACGACTATTTGTGGGACACTGCTGTGCGCAATTGGCTGCTGCGTTTCGCCCACAAATATACGGTTAATTCACTTTACAGTCTATTCTGTGAAGTGCTTTGAGATGTCTAGAAGACTTGAAAAGCGCTATATCAAATGCAAGGATTATTGTTATTATTATTATTGCATTTGATATAGTGCCTTATCACATCTTTGAGACATCTCAAAATGCTTCACAGAATATACTGTAAAATGAATTGACTGTATTGTTTGGGGCAAAATGTGGCAGCCAATTGTGCACATCAGTGTACCGCAAACTGTCATTTTTATATAGTATATATATATCAAATGCAAGGTTATTATTACCAAACTCAATCTTGTGCAGGTTTAAACCATGTCCAAATTAAAGCCAAAAATTAAACCAGACATTTTCAGTGGCCCAAAACTCAACTTTAGCAGAAATAATTAGAGAAGAGCAGCCAAATGGACGTGGGCAGCCTTCCAGTGCTATACCAAACTGATCTTATGAAAGTCAATGGAAGCAAATTAAATTAAGCTGAAATAAACCTAAAAGCCAAAATTGTTAACAGACCTCTCTAAAAGACAGTAGTTAAAAAGAGGAGTGGTGAAGAAAAAGAAAGTAATTGCATGTATTATAGTGAGATTCTTTTCCAGGACACTGGGAGAAACTCGTTTGTCTTTTCGAAATAGTGCCATGGGACAGGCAGATGGAGTTCAGTTGAACGTCGCATCCCAACAACAGCACTGTTTATGGGACACTGCTGTGCGCAATTAGCTGCCATGTTTCCTCCACAAAATATAGTCTTCTCCAATGGTTACGGCAATGGGAGGAGATATCATCGCTCCTCTGCGGGGCAGGAAGGTATTTCATCTCTTAAACCAGACAAAACGTCTGTCCCACATGTGTCCGGTTTTCACTGTGTGTGCGATTTTTAATGGGATTGAGAAAGTAAACCCAACCCAGAACAATACTGTTGGATGCATTGAGACAGCAGAACAAGAACACAGGTTTAGATGCAAAAGGCAATGTCTAGACAAACACCAGGAAGCATTTATATACCCAATTAACGACTGGTTGGGGGAATGGATGGTAGGATGGGTAGAAATCTGAGATCAAATGGATCAAAATGCCTTCTTCATTTGAATCTCTCCTGTGTAGGTTAGAACAGCACGCTTACAGAGGAGGGAGCCTCTGATGTGATTATAGTATAATCAAGGATAAATTGCACCATAAAGTGAAATGGTTATCCACAAAGCCTGCAGGACTGGTAGGACAAGATGCGAGAGACATTTCCTTGCTCTCAAACACAACCTCCTCTGTTGGAGGGGAATAACATTTGACTTACAACTTACACAATGTAGACATAGGAACAGATACAAACAAGTTCACAGACATGCATTAATTATCATATTTTAGTTATTTCTGCTGTAATTTTCTGATCCCAGGCATAATTAGAACCACATTCAGCTCAGGCTGATAATCTCCAGTGACTCCACTTTATAAGCTTCTGTTACTCCTTAGGGCACAAGACATTCTGCAGGAGCTGCAGATTGTAGCCTTAGATCATGTGTAGGAATTAAAGTGGGATGGCATTACGATAGTGTTCCTATGCTAGTAGATGCAGTGAGGACATTTTCCAATGTATAGTATCAAGAACTTGCTTTTCTTTTGGTGGCTTCATCAAGCGAGCACATTTCAAAGTGTTTCACAATTAACTCCCGTCAAATACAGTGACTGTATGCGCAGGCAAATGCAACATTTTTCATTACAAACAGCCACGAGGTGAGTGATCAGTTGCAATATGGAGGATTGTCGAGGAACAGAGGACTGAGAAAGAAATGCAGGGGAAATTTCATATATTGGATGATTAGCAGAAGAAGGTTGCCTATAATTTTCACTCCAAACTATAGAACATCTCCAAAGGATAAATCTTTTTTTTTGGCATTTTGAATAAACAGTGAATTTACCCTCATGGTTTGATACTGTATATAGTCCAACAAACCTAATGCTTAATTCTGCCCTTGAGCTACATGCTGGGGCTTCAGGCAACACATTTGGGGGGCTATTATGCTCTTTGTGTAAACACAGTTATATTATGCACTACGTGTCAATGAAGGGTTCAAAATTACATCTGGTCTTTTACTGCAAGACAATTTTATCTTAAAATGTAACATTTGGCAGAATTGTGGAAATCGTTAAATTCAGACTTAAGCCAATGTGTCCTCAATTCTTAAATAAAACCATCTTCTGGATTAAGACATTTCCACAGTTAAACTGAGAGACAAAGTAGTCTTTGAAGCTTAGAATAAGTGGAAGGTTTTCAGCATTTGTCTTTTTTAATGTGTGTTCCTCAGAAACAAAGGGGAGACATTTTCTGCCAGTCACTGGTCTGAAAGGCATTTGACAATAAAGAGTCCAGGAGCCGGATGTTTCTCTGTAGGATGGTGACCAGAGCTACAATATTTTAAGCATTATCTTAAATACTTTGGGACCAGACCATCATACAGTTAAACAACCTAGAATTTTGGATTATGAGTTTCAAATATATAAATAATGGCCATCAGAGTTGTTTTATTATCTATGAAATAAATCCATGGACTATACAGACGTGATGATAAAAGATGGCCTCCATCTATGATGTACAGTGTAGAATAATAATCCTTGTATTTGATAAGCAACTTTCATGTTGGGATGATGTCTCAAAGTACTCAACAGGATTTACTGTAAAGTGTAGTGACTTTACTTCATAGGTGATCATCTACACAGTGCATGCTTTGTGTCTGTGGAACTTATAGCAATGACCTCAGTCATTTCTGGGTCAGAAAACCTGCAGAAGAAATAAGAGAAATAACCTTTACTTGGTTTTGAACGTCGTGACTGAACGTTCTGACTTTGGATCCTCTCATCATTGTGCAGAGCAAAGGAACAGAGGATGGTTTCTTGTGACTGAATAGCAAGGCAAAGACAAACGTAGAATCATTCTCTTTATTGGTACAAATATATACATGAAGAAATCCCCTCTACATTTCAACTAACCTACAGAAAGCAAATATATGCCACTGGGGGGCTGGGGGGGGGGGGGGGGGGGGAGAGAAAGAGGAAGGCATAGCGATTCAAACAATTTCAGATGTAAAAGTGGGTAGATTGAACAAATCATCAGATATCATTAAATATAATGCAAAGATGATTGAAAAAAAAACTCCTTATTCCAAACAGCCTTTTCACATTATAACTTTAAACGTTACACTCACCAAACCCACATTTTCATCTTGTTCATTGTGCTTGTGGCAATGCTCATGGAAAATGAGTGAACAACCCTATCTGTACATTGAGAGATCAAACCCCACCCCCCAACAGAAGCATTAAAAACCCTTATCCAAGTTCCCCGTTATATTTATAATAAATTATACAAATTAGTTTCATTAGTGTGCTCAGTCGTTACTTTGCAGGATTGTATACAGGATTATATCTCACGTGCACATTTTATACACACGCGCACGCACACACATACACACACACCCCACCCACACACACACACGTGCACACATATACAGCAGTTAGACCATAGCCTGCTGTTTATAAGGTGGAAGCAGACCCCTAAAAGATTTCCAGTTCAGATTGCTTGGCTTAATAGATCCTTGTACCACATGTGTATCTCATCTCTCACAGCTCCTTTACACAATTCAAGTAAATGAGAAAAAAAATGCTGGCATTTGCTAACATGAATGTTTACTTTCATTTGGGAATGGTCAAGGGAAGAGAGGTAGTGAAGAAGGAAAACATTTGCAGATGAAAATAAAGGCAAAAAAGCAGAGGGAATCGCTTATAGGCAGGAAATAAAAATCACAGTCTAAACAAACAAAAAAGGTTTTTTTAAAAATCTTGCTCATTGGCTTGAAAGATGGGTATCTAGGTGCAGCTTACAAAGTTTAAAAAGTATTAATAGAATGATTGGCTGGTGAATAGAAACAGATCAGATAGTCTTTACACCCCGATTACTTGAGATCCCTGTCTGTGCTCCTGTGCTGTGCAACCAGCCCACACAAACATGCTATACAAATATGTAATCCTTATCTCCTTCCTCTCCAGAGTCACTGGATTTGCTCTCATTCTTGCCCTCAGTCTTTGATCGCTGTCGGATTCTCCCGGCTGCTTTTCCCTTTGCGACCATCTCCTGACTCTCTGATGTCCTGCCTGCTTTGCTCTCCTCAGGATGTGGGCTGCGTTTGGGAGACGACTCCGACAAAGAGATTGAGCGTACTGTCGAGTTTGAAATCAGAACACACAAAAGATTACTTCACATAATATACCCAGGTTAGGCTACAAAACAACAGCACAACAATTATTAAATTAGTAAAAATATTGCGAGCTTGACAGTTCTTTGCAGCATCAAATTACTGCCACTTAACGATCACAGATACAGAAGTACATTTTTCTTTCTACTGAAACTCAGTCTTAATATGAACCGAAGAATACAAGTGTTGGATTATAGCTTAGGCAAGGTCTACTTTCTGGACGAAACAAAATGAGAAATAGTTCATAGAGAATCATCACACCAAGGTTTTAGTCTAGACGCCAGAGGCAGTTTTCTCCTGAACTATTTGAAGGTTTTAGATATAGTCATGTCCCATCATGCAGTGAAATGAAACCCCATCAAAATGTGAGCATTTACAAGCAGCGAGCAATATCCATCACCATCAGTCAGAATTTTGAACCTGGGCTTTTCTACCTTCATGCAGGTTGTTAGGGATCTTACACTAGCAACTGAGGAGCATTAATAGTGCATATTTAGTACAAATTCTCCCAGACTATTGTAAGCAAAATCACAGGCCAACAGCAGAGCCAACACTGAAGAGTCACAAACGGTACAACTCGAAGTGTTGGAGAAATCTACAAGTTGACCAATCACTTTGCTGATGTGTAACAATCAGTTCGCTTATGGACAACATTCAACAGAAATGACCAGGATATAACACAATTATTCTCTTTTCAGGAGTGGTGGTGCCTCCAATATGACAGATTAACAAAAAATGTGCAGCACAGAAACAGGCCATTTAGCCCAACCAGCCCATGCCATTCCATAGCCAGGATAATTCCTTTCCCCCATTTTGAGTGGACTGAGGCGAGACATTGGCCAATTTCCCGCTCTGTACAGAAGCCCATTTCCACCACTTACTGGGTTACTCCTGTGAGTTTGCCAGATTGGAAAATTGTCACATCATGGGTTAGAGCTTGTATCCCAGCATGACACAGGTTACATACAGTAAGTAAGTAACCTTATTCTACAACTGTATATTAAGGTTAGTTTGCCAAGTAGAGCCTTTTTCACTCTTCAAATTGAGGGCATCCTTCACACACACACAACATTGAGGTTCACACTAGTAGTAAAACATTGGGGAAATCCCAAAGAACCAATCTTCCTTTAAAACAATTTCAAGATTAACTTAAGGAAACAGCTCTCATTGCTGCTTATAGCAACAGCCCTGGTCGAAGTCACTAATCAAATTCTGAACATCTGTGATCAGGGCTCCCTCTGCCTCCTTGTCCTCCTCGATCTCTCTGCCGCCTTCGACACTATCGACCACTCCATCCTCATACACCGCCTCTACGCTTTACTTAATCTTCGCAGACCTGCCCTTGCTTGGTTAGATTCCTATCTCTCTCACCGTCTCCACTTTGTTGCCTCCAACGGTTTCTCCTCCATCCCCCGCACTGTCACGTCTGGCGTCCCCCAGGGCTCTGTCCTTGGCCCCCTCCTCTTTAATATCTATATGCTCCTCCTTGGTGACATCATCCGCAGACATGGGGTCAACTTCCACATGCATACGGATGACACCCAACTCTATCTTTCTGCTTCCACCCTCAACTCCAGAACCACCGCTGTCCTGACAGACTGTCTCTCGGACATCAAGTCCTGGATGAGGGCAAATTTCCTACAGTTGAATGTGAACAAGACTGAGACCCTCCTGATTGGCTCGCGCCAGCGCCTCTGCACCTCAGGCTCTGGTAGCATCAACCTCCATGTTGCACACTTCAACTCACCAAGCCATCAGGAACCTAGGTGTCTTGTTCGAACCTCAACTGTCTTTTCTTCCCCACATTCAAGCCATGACCCGCTTTGCCTTCCCTCACCTCCGTAACATCGCCCGACTCCGCCACTACCTCACTCCTTAGGCCTCTGAAACTCTTGTTCATGCCTTCATCACCTCCAGGTTCGACTATGCAAATGCCCTGCTTGTCAGCCTTCCCAACTCCTCCCTCCACAGGCTGCAGATAATCCAGAACTCTGCAGCCCGTGTCCTCTCCCGCACCAAACTCTGTGACCCCATCTCCCCCATTCTCGCCCGACTCCAATGGCTCCCTATCCTTCGGAGGATCCAGTTCAAGATCCTGGTCCTCACCTACAAAGCCCTCCATGGCCTCGCCCCACCCTACCTCTGCGACCTCCTAACCCCCTACCAACCTGCCCGTTCCCTCCGCTCAGCCGGCTCTGGCCTGCTCCACGTCCCCTGACCCACCCGCCCCACCATTGGCGGGAGAGCCTTCAGCCACTCTGTCCCCAACCTCTGGAAGTCCATCCCCCAGTCACTCTGCCTCGCCCCCTCCTTAGCCTCCTTAGTCTCCTTCAAGTCCCGCCTCAAGACCCTCCTCTTCAACCATGCCATCAGCCACCCCCCTTCCCCTCCCCTCCCTTCCCCTCCCGACCTCAGCTTGGGTCTGAAATGCTATACTCTGTCCAGCGCCTTGAGACGTCCTCCCGACGTGAAAGGCACTATACAAATGTAATCTTCTTGTTGCTTCTGCTGCAGATATGGTGGAGTCTTAATGATCCTTCAAGCAGTTTTTAATCCTTGCTTAATCTGTAAAGGCCTGTAGAGATGGACAGAAGGGGGCCTGATATGTGGAGGATGCTTTTGATTCAAAGAATAATGACCACCCGACCAAGTAGATAGCTTAATTCCTTCTTTGTTCTTTATTGTCTAATAACCGAATGGTATTATCCAAGTCGTTTCTTCTGAACCAATCTGAATTTAGTGTATGTAGGACACAGCACTCAGTGAACATGGTTACATGGCGATCACAAAGAGAGCAAATTCAATGAAGGCTAAAATTGTGGTGTATTAAGTAAATATAGATATACCTTACACCGATCACCAAAATCCTGATGTTGTTGAACCATAAGTTAATGAAGCAAGCCATTGACGGGCTGTTATCAAAGCAAAGCATTCAAGATGTAGTATCCCTCCGCTGCAGCATCTTAGGAGTTTATTCTTCGCAAACGGGTTGCAATCATTTTGTTTCTATACTGACTTTTAAAAAGGGCAATTTGAATCCAGTTCAATGAAAGTCACACTTTTAACTGAGCCCAAATCACACGTTGTCTCTAGGAATCATGCAGATATGTTCTTGGATTGGGATACTACAGCCTTTTATTGCAAGTTAGCAAGTTTATCTCAAAGCATGGAAGTGGCACCAGCAAACCTATCAAATAGCAATCAGACAGGCTTGTTCTGTGGCCTTGCCACTCCTAGCTGTGGTTGCTTTATGTTCAGTTTATACAGTCCTTGGAAACCCAAGTACTTCCCATTTCAGTGAATAATAGGTTTGAAAATGGTATTGCAAGTGCCTTTGACCAAATTCCTCCAGATCTGTAGTCTGATAATCAACAGCGACCAAACCTTATGAACCATGTGAAGAATTATCCATTTGGAATACTCACAAAGTTGCAATTTAAAAAACTTGGAAAGATTTGGTTGTGCATTTTGGTGGGAGAGGGTTACATTTTCCAATTTCCAATTCAGATAAATATTTTGTTTATTCTTGTTAATTCACAAGATGAGCCACAGATGGGGATTTTGTGTGAAACCACTGCCAGTAACAGAACTTTACATTGTGAGTTGAGCTATTGGAACTCTTAGAAGGATTTACACCCATATAATTTCATATGGATGTTTTCAAACAGTTTTGCTGGTGTCACATACTCAACCATATGCACTTCAGGAAGGCAAAAATTCTGACCATTCTTTAGCTGTGATTTCTTGCGCTCGATCTCGCCTGTATCATCCACTGCACCAGTTGATGACTGCCTCAGTGTTCTTTTGAACATATGTGCTCCACTGCTTGGCATTTCAAAATCATGATCTGTACCAGCTCTACTATCAGCTCCAAATAGCTCTACCGAGAAAAATGCACTATATTTTATCTTTACACACATACGTACAAACACATGCACGGGAGCACACACACAATACATCGTGGGGCATCAGGTTATACTCTACATCTAGAAATCTATTTCAACCTTTTGTTTACTGAGTTTTCTTTGCAAGTCCAGATGTTTTCCATTTAAGTATCTGTAAAGATTATTTTCTGTGAGTTTCTCATACTGAACAGTACGATAAGGAGGTACAAAAACTACAGAATATTTCATTAATAAAAGTCTAATGACTGCAAATTTGTCATCTTGGTTTACACTTGTACTTGCAAGCGAGTCACATTCACATTTTCGAGATGGAGGTAGATAGATATTTGTTAGGTCAGAGGATCAAGGGATATGGGGCAAGGTTGGGTAACTGGACTTGAGGCACAGATCAGCCATGATCTTCTAAAATGACAGATCAGGCTCGAGGGGTTGAATAGCCTAGTCCTGTTTCTATGTTTCTACAAGTTTTGAAGCTCTTAAACAGAAGTTCTTCTCCTCTGAAAATTGCTATACAGTGCTGCATCTAAAATAATCTAGCTCCTTTAGATACTAGAAAGCTGTACAACACATGCAAACCCAGTCGAAAGTAACTTAAATGTCTTTAATTTGCTTGCTACTCATCTCGATTATAAACAACTTCAATCATAGCTAAAATACCAAGAACAAGTATAGATCGTATTCCAGATAGTTACTGGGCACTATTATGTGCTATTTATTTAAGTAAATTGTAAAGTTAGAAATCCATCATTAATTTTCTAATGAGTGCATAGTTTAACTAACATTTTGTTTTGGTCAGCCTTGCTTTGTCTTGCAGGGTGAACAGGAGTTGAGTGGGATGACTCCCAGCCCCCAGTGACTTGTCTGCCCTTCCAGGTCCTGCCAGTGAGTCAGGCTGTCTGTGCTGTCATCAGCAATGCTCTGGAATACCCTGGCTCAGGAACTGGACATTCAGTTGCCAAACATGTCATCTAACAAAATCAGTGGAACGATGCAATAATGAGATCCAAAATACTGGTTTGGACTAATAGCCCATGGGCTAACCATAATCAAATCAATACAATGTGCCCTTAATTGTTTAATTGACTAATGAAAAGGAAACCAGAAGCACATTTTCATCAATTATATAACTACAACAACAACAACTTGGATTTATATAGCGCCCTCCATGCCGTTCGGCGTCTCAGAGTGCTTGATGGCACCTGCAGGCTTTGAATGCTCCAAGGGCTATTAGCCCAATGCTAATGTTAGACATCCATGAGTTCTGTATACCCGGACAATACATGTCCATTCACAAATATTTAGGGACTATCAACAGTCATTGTTTCAACATTCTTGAATGATCTCAAATATTCTTTTAAGTATTTTTTAATTATAACTGTGGCCCCAACGAAGACCCGAGTGAGGACTTTTTGAGGTGAAACAACTCAAAAATGACCGTGGTGAGGCAGGAACAGAGCTGCTAGAGAATGTGTTGTCAGAGACGCAGGACAGCTTTCTGGGCCATACAACAATTCCTCCCCAACACTGAAAGCATTGAGGCTTGGGATGAAGTGACCATCTGTGAACACATGCAACTTTGTGAACCTGGGGTAGGAGCTGTGCCAAGACACTATAGAACATTTACATTTTTACAAAAAAAAGTGTAATTCCCCCCATTTTGAAATTGCAAACAAATATAAGTTTGCAAAGATCATGTAGATGGAATGTACTCTGAAAAGGTTGATGGAAAAACTATACAGTAGCTGCAGAACAGAACACTGCAATCTGACAGTGGCCATTCAGAGAGGAGAGAGGAATGTTCGTTTTTGCCACCGTGCCAGTGCCACTGGGTTACTGTTAATAGATTGAGCTGATGGACAACAATTAATAATAATCCTTGCATTTGATATAGTGCCTTACCACGTCTTCGAGACATCTCAAAGCGCTTCACGGGATATACTGTAAAGTGAATTGACTGTATATTTTGTGGGCGAAACGCGGCAATTGCGCACAACAGTGTCCCACAAACAGCCGTGGATTGAATTGACCAATTTTTTTTTTGCAGGAATTATTACGCCCGGTAAAGTGATCTGCCAATTGACCTCACAACCAGGTTCCTACTTACTGTTAGGTAAACAGAGGCGTGTGGAGTAAGGAAACTTGCCCAAGGTTTCGCCCTGCCATGAATCAAACCCAGGTTTCTCGCTTGTGAGGCGAATGTTCCAACCACTAAGCCACAGGACTCCACACTAATACATTGCTGTTCTGTTCTAGCAAGGAATGTGATTCTGCTCTGGGATACCCTCTGTGCTTGGTAGCATCTCTCATGTTTTGTCAATTATGATGACAGCATCCACGTGCAAACAAATCATCTGATCAGTAGGGCCATTCCAAAACAGGCAAATACACCAGACAATCCCAAATCTCTGGTTTCAAGGGCCCTTTTAATTTTAAAATAAAAACATGTTCCACATGACCAGCTGTGTGCTAATTGTTCTAGTAAATCATATTCACCCACAGGTGAGCCGGCTGACATGCCATCAGTCTATTTGCTGAAGTCACACAGAAATGCAATTTATTAATGCTTCAATTTGAGTAGAAATCAAAATGCATGTAAGCTCTGCTATAAAAATCGAAGCCCCATCATGCCAGGCTCTGCTGACTTCCAATCACAGAACGGATCAAACTCAAGATCCTCACACAAGTCTACAAATCCCTTCATGCCCTGGCACCTCCCTACCTCTCCGACTTACTTACTCCCCAATCCGATATATAAATGCAATTTATTGTTATTGTTGTAAGTTCATTTTCACATGAATACAAAGTCAACACCTATACAGATGTCTGTGTCAGTCAGCAACGGTGACTAACTACATTTAACCATTGTGAATAGAACTCTTTACTTCCAGCATCTCATACTTTCTAGTACTGTGCCTTCGTTAATAAGCTTAATTACATTTCTTGGGAAACATTTGTTAAATGTAATATTTTCAGGCAAATGCTTCCTATTTATAATTAGAAAAACATTTCCAGACTCAGAGGATTAATTATGTGCTCCTGTTAGTACAATGCTAAAGCTATGTCATCTTGATGAATAGCTTACAATCGGGCATTTTATAACAAATGTAGTTATTCCTGTTTATTGAGAATAAATGGAAATGTAAACAGACATTGAACTGCAGATCTACTTAATATTATTCAGATGAAAAATTAATATGAAAAATGAAGAGAAATGATTGCCAGATAGAGTAATGACTAACGACAGCAAAAACGGTGAGTATAAACAAGTTCAGTCTGGACTGCATCACCTGTTCAAGCACTTCATTGCTTTTGTAAACCAGCTTACCAAGGATTGTGACTCTTACGCAATGTGTAGTGTCATTGTCGGTCATTCATTGATTTGTTGCTAGAAGTTAAAAAAAATCTAGAGGATTCATTTTGGGGTAACAATTTAAGAAGTTGAATACATTGTCATTGTTTCAACATAAGCTGTAATTCTATTACTGAAAGCAAATCTAGACAGACTTGCTTAGGATAATGATGAAGTGACAAGTTCTACTACAAGTCAATGTTATTATACTGCTGTAGTGTTCCTTTGGATCCCATGAGTTGTCTGTGACACACACTGCTCAGTTACAGACAGAAATCCCTGTGAGCAGCTACAAGTCAATTTGGAGAAACTTGTATTCTCCCAATAATCACATTATTGTCCATCCTCCCCTTATAATAATAATTATAATAATTCTTGCATTTGTTATAGTGCCTGATCACGTCTTTGAGACGTCTCAAACACACTTCAGAGTATACTGCAATATAAATTTACTGTATATTTTGTGGGTGAAACGCCTCGGATTGAGTGATCAAATTTTTATTTATTTATTTATTTATTTATTTTGAAGGGACTATTACCCCCAGAAAACGATACGCCAATCGACTAGCAACCGGGTTCCTACTTAACTGCTAGGTAAAGAGGCGTGTGGAGTAAGGAAAGTTGCCCAACGTTTTGCCCTGCTAGAAATCAAATCCAGGACCTCTCGGTTGCGAGGCGTGTACTCTAACCACTGAGCTACAGGACTCCACAAATATCTGTATTCATCTCCATTCTTTGCACTCAAAGCCTACCTTCATGTGAAGAGGACCAGCTGCTGGGGCCACTGAATGGAGGGCTGCTCTGACCTTCCTTTTCTGATGGTAATCGCCTTAAGACTGGTGGAACCAGAGCAACTTTTGGAGAAGTGTGACCAGATGGTGATTCTGGCCCTTCCTCTGTAACAAAGAATAAATTTGTAAATAATAACAATAATAATAATTCTTGCAGTTGATACATCGCCTTATCCTGTGTTCGAGACATCTCAAATCCTACATTTGATGTATCGCCTTATTATGTCATTGAGATTCTCAAAATTTCACATTTTTTTTTGTAAACTCTAGTGTTTATTTTTGTAGGTGCAATTGCATTCAGCGGTAAAAAGTCTGACTGCTCCTTTCCATAGATTCATTGATTTACACACAGAGTAGAATGGTGTCCACACACAGGTCTACTCATTTGTATCGCGCTCTGATATGGAAGCGAACTCATTGCTGCGATACTGACAAGAAAAACCTGGTTGATGATACGATTACGGGGTTTGATATTTAGCCATGCAGCATGACTGAACTGGTACCACCATGGTAAGTGTTTATTTAGCAATCTGGTACTGTGGTTAGAGACAGGGAGAGAGAGTTCAAGAAAAATAGAAGATGCTAAATTCAATGAAGGAGAGAGAAACAGAAAGTTGGAGAAAATTAAAAAGAATCATAGAAAACATTTTGAGAGAGAAAAAGTTAAGATGCAGAAACAACAACAACAACAAGATTTCATATATAGAGCGCCTTTCACGTCGGGAGGACGTCCCAAGGCGCTGGACAGTAGGGGGGAAATGGTCAGGGTGAGGGGAGGGAAGAGAGGGAGCGAGAAGGGGGTAGAGAGTCGAGAGGGGAGCTGAAGGCCCGGTCGAAGAGAAAGGTCTTGAGACCGGCCTTGAAGGAGGAAAGAGAGGAGGCGGCGAAGGCACTGGGGGATAGAGTTCCAGAGCCTCGGAGCTGAGAGGCTGAAGGCCCGGCCACCAATGGTAGGGCGGTTAGGGCGGGGGGTGTGGAGCAGACCGGAGCCAGAGGAACGGAGGGTACGGGCAGGTAAGTAGGGGGATAGTAGGTCGGAGAGGTAGGAAGGAGCAAGGCCGTGAATGGGCTTGTAGGTGAGGATGAGGATCTTGAATTTGAGGTAAGGATGAGGATCTTGAATTCGAGAGAGACAGAGAAAAAGACTCAAGGAGAGGAAGAAATTGTCAGAGATAAGTAGTTAAGAGACAAAGAGAGAAAAACGTTGGCACAGTGTCTACTATAGTGACAGTATATGTCCTGATGGAAGAGGTTTCTGGTTAACATTGTAGCCAATTTGCTTTTGATGATCAATCATGAGCATTGTTTGCTTTTTCATATTGTGGATCATTTAACTCCACTGTATTCTCAGTATATCTGAAGAACTTCCATTTTTATTGCTCTTTTAACAATGTCAATATCTCGAAGGGCTTCACAGATATTTATCAAGTGTAATGACTGTTTGTTTGTAGCCAAATGTGGCAACCATTTGCACCAGTGTAATCTCACAAAGTGAGCAATCTTGAGGATTGCTGGGCAGGACAATGACATTCCATTCTCATGCTCACAAGGGAATTGCCTATTTTGTGTTGCAAATAGCACAAACCTTAATTGGGAACACAAATTCAAGTCTATGCTGCAAAAATACAAACTAGAATAACAATGGATTTATAAGGTTGTATTGCTGGACAAGTGTAATAGTAAATTAGCAATTCATGCTGTCGAGAGGCCTCAAAGCAATTCCCAAAATATACTGTGTGTTTTTTGAGCAAACATAGAGGCCAATTTGCCGCATAGCAATGTCCCCCAAACAACCATCGAGCAAATGACCAATTCTTCATCCTTATATGTAAGATGTACTCCAAGTTCCTCACTGTCTTTTCAAATACCGGATAAACCACCTTAAATCTGTACTTAAAAAGTCAACACATTACCTTCAAGGGGTGCATGACAAATACTTTGGTAATTGTACCATGAGGGAAGATTACATTATATTGTTAATCTCTATGTAATAATAATAATAATCCTTGCATTTGATGTAGTGCTGTTCACATCTTCTAGACGTCTCAAAGAGCTTCACAGAATATACTGTAAAGTGAATTGATCGTATATTTGAGGGCGAAATGCGGCAGCCAAATTGCGCACAGTAGTGTGCCACAAACAGTTATGGATTGAAGTGCCCAATTTATTATTGTTTTTTTTCTTGAGGGATTATTATTAGGCATGTGTGTATAGTAATGACCTGCCGGTAGTTTTGGCAGCTAGCTAGTAATATTAACAAAACCCGACACCACATTTACTCTGATCATACACCTGTTAGTTCTTTAGTCTCAGTCATTTGAGAATCAGAGAATAGGGTTTCAAATGCAATTTTGGAGTCCTGTAGCTCAGTGGTTAGAGCACTCGCTTTGTAAGCGAGAGACCTGGGTTCAATTCCCGGCAGGGTGAAACCTTGGGCAAGTTTCCTTACTCCACACGCCTAATAATAATCCTTCAAAAAAAAATTGTTCATTTCAATCCACGGCTGTTCGTGGGACGCTGCTGTGCGCAATTGGCTGCTGCATTTCACCCACAAATATGGTCAATTCACTTTACAGTATATTCTGTGGTTTGCAAAGAGATAAAAACAACAACAACTTGGATTTATATAGTGCCCTCCACGCTGGACGGCGTCTCAGAGCACTTCACAGTAATGGATCCCGGGGCCGAGCCAGGGGGAGGGGGAGGAAGGTGACCAAAGGCGCGGTTGGAAAGAAAGGTTTTCACTCGAGACCTGAAAATAGGAAGGGAGGGGGCGAGGCGAGGGGAGTGAGGAAGGGAGTTTCAGAGCCTCGGGGCTGAAGGCATGGCCACCGATGGTGGAGCGGAGGATTCGGGGGACAAGGTAAGCAGCTGCTGCTTAAATTCTGAACCTCCAACTGATGCAACCATCTAGTTTACTTCTGCTATGCATCACCGTGCATTAATCTGGACTTCATTTGCTCATGATCAGTCCAGGTCTAAACCATGTTAGAGCATTCATTATAAGACATTAGCTGCCTCTTTTGATTTCACAGTTTGCTCCAATCTGGTGTTATCTGCAACTGATTTGAATTGGATCCCTTTTTCCAACCACCAGCTGTCATCACTCCTATCCTTAAAAAACCCTCCCCGGACCCTTCTCTACTCCCAAACTACTGCCCCATCTCCAACCTTCCTTTCCTCTCCAAGGTTCTGGAACGAGTCATTGCTTCTCAGCTTCACTCCTTCCTCTCCCGCCACTCCCTTCTCGAACCCCTCCAATCGGGTTTCCGCGCCCACAGCACAGAAACTGTCCCGATCAAAGTGACAAATGACATTCTGTCCATCTGCGACCAGGGCTCCCTCTGCCTCCTCATCCTCCTTGACCTCTCTGCTGCTTTCGATATCGTCGACCACTCTATCCTCATCAGCCGCCTCTCCTCTCACCTCAACCTTCACGGCTCCATACTTGACTGGTTCAGATTGTACCTCTCACAGCGGCTCCACTTCATCTACACAAACGGCTTCTCCTCTAGCCCCTGGACCGTCTTGTGCGGTATTCCTTAGGGCTGTGTCCTTGTTCCCCTCCTCTTCAATATCTATATGCTCCCTCTTGATGACATCATCCGCAGACATGGGGTCAACTTCCACATATATGCAGATAACACTCCACTCTACCCTCTGCCTCCACCCTTGACTCCAGGGCCATTGCTATCCTGACAGAATGTCTGTCAGGCATCAAGTCCTGAATGAGAGCCAACTTTCTTCAGTTGAACGTCAACAAGACTGAGGCTCTCCTGATTGGCTCCTGTCAGCGCCTCCTCACCTCAGGCGCTGACAGCATCACCATCCATGGTTGCACACTCCACCTTACTAAGCCAGTCCAGAACCTTGTTTTGACCTCAACTATCCTTTCTACCCCACATCTGCGCCGTGACCTGCTCTGCCTTCCACCACTATCTCACACCACAGGCCACCGAAACCCTCATACACGCCTTCATTACATCGAGGCTTGACTATACAAACTCATTGCTTGTCGGCCTCCCCAACTCCTCCCTCCACAGGCTGCAGATCATCCAGAACTCTGCAGCCCATGTCCTCTCCTGTATCAAGCTCTGTGATCCTATCATCCCCATCCTCGCCCGACTCCACTGGCTTCCCATCACACAGAGGATACAGTTCAAGATCCTGGTCCTCACCTTCAAAACCCTCCACGATCTTGCTCCCCCCTACCTCTGCGAACTTCCTAACCCCCTACCATCCTAATACTGGCAGCATCAGCATCCACGGCCGCACACTCAACCTCACTAAGCCAGTCTGGAACCTGGGTGTCTTGTTTGACCCTGAACTGTCCTTTCTCACCCACATCCACGCCATTACCGGCACTGCCTGCCACCACCTCCACAACATTGCCAGACTCCACCACTGCCTCACCCCTCAGGCTGCTGAAACCCTCACCACGCGATCGTCACATCAAGGCTCGATTATGGAAACTCCCTCCTCAACGGCCTTTCCAACTCTTCCCTTCACAAGCTGCAGATCATCCAAAACTCTGCAGCTCGTGTACTCTCACGCACCGGCTCCGTGACCCCATCACTCCCACCCTCGCCCGACTCCACTGGCTCCCCATCCCCCAGAGGATCGAATTCAAGATCCTCGTCCTCACTTTCAAGGCTATCCATGGCCTTGCCCCCTCCTACCTCTGACCTTTTGACACCCTACCAACCTGCCCGCTTCCTCCATTCAGCGGCCTCTGGCCTGCTCTATGTCTCCCATCCGACCCACCCTACCATCGCTGGCCGGGCTTTCAGCCTCTCTGCCCTCACACTCTCGAACTCCATTCCACAGTCCCTTCGCCTCGCTTCCTCCCTTGCCTCCTTCAAGGCTGATCTCAAGAACCTCCTCTTTGATCGTGCTTTCAGTTGCCCTCCCACCTCTCTGCCTTCCCCCACCCCTCCCCCACGCTCGGGTCCTGACCCCTCACTGTCCAGAGCCTTGGGACGTCCTCCTGACGTGAAAGGCACTCTATAAATGTAATTTTGTTGTTGTTGTTATTCAAAATAATCCTTGCATTTGATATAGCACTTTTCACGTCGGGAGGACGTCCCAAAGCGCTTCACAGAATATACTGTAAAGTGAATTTACTGTATATTTTGTGGGCGAAACGCCTTGGATTGAGTGATCAAATTATTAATCTGTCTGTCTGTCTGTTTATTTTGAATGGACTATTACCCCCAGAAAACGATCCGCCAATCAACTAGCAACTGGGTTCCTACTTAACTGCTAGGTAAACAGAGGTGTGTGGAGTAAGGAAAGTTACGCAACGTTTTGCCCTGCCGGAATTCGAATCCAGGTCCTCTCGGTTGCGAGGCGTGTGCTCTAATCACTGAACTACAGGACTCCACAGCAGCGTCCTACAAACAGTCGTGGATTGAGTGACCAAATTAGTACTTAAAAAAATGTTTTGAAGGGATTATTACCCCCAGAAAGCAATCCGCCAATACAAAGCAGAGTAATAAATCTCGGATAGCTCAAAAAACTAATGCAGCCTGCTACTCACCTGTACTCCAACTGGGCCTGGGTTTTTGGGGAATACTGGGGCGTCCCACGTTGGTGGGTTTGAGGCCTTGAGGCAGTGGCTTTGGACTTGTAGGCGTTGTTGAGGAGCTCTTAGATTTCACGGTTTCAGGTTTTGGTTCAGTTTTCATAAACTTCTCTGGTGAAGTAGGATCTCCTTTCTGACTCCTGACTGCCAGAACAAGACCAAAAAAAAAACCCACTTCTTAAAAAAAAGAAAACTAATAATATTAAAGATCTTTTTAAAGAAAGTACTTTGCGCCAATATCAAACCAAACTTGTCGAAGGGGAACAACACACACCAGGAAAACAGGATTTGTGGATTGATATCAGTTCACTACCTACATGCAAGCAAATAACCTCCCTTCCCACCAATTTGTAGAGAATACATCTTGGTTTCTAATCTCATCACTTCAATGGCAATATCGCTATTAAGTAACTAGAGAGCAGTGAATCAAGCATTTTTCTTTATATAATGGCTCATCCACATCCCCTGCTCTTTGCTGTCACTGTGTGATGCAGTTATGTCCCACATCTTCTCTGCGTGACTCAAAGCTAAGCAATGAATTGACTTTAGATGTCATCACTTATAATGTTGTCCTTGATTCAACCGAGAAACGAACACGAATTTGGGAACAATAATTTCCTAGTCATTGTGTAAAATGCTGCACCCATGCTAGGATAATGAAGTAAAAGCTGAATTTACACAAATGAGAATCCCACCAAGTAAAATATGGTTAGAAGTTCTCACCTGATGCTGTACTGTTTGATTCCACTCACCTTTACTGGAATCATCCAGGCGCTCTGTACTCGATAAACTTTCATATCCTTCCTTGTTTCCAGTTTCAGTCTCAAGTTTCTAAATGGAACAAGGGAAGATAAAAATTAATCCTAGATATCAAACCATTAGTACTATTGGTTAGTTCTGAGCATCTACAGTAAAATCTCGATGGAAGGCTATCCTTTTGGATCTATAAAAAATTCATTGTTCAGATAATAGTTCATCAATTACCTTGCATATTAATATTATAAAGGCCAAATTTATGGGACATCAGAACATCTCACCTGGATTGCAGTAGCTATCTCAAATACCAGTAATAATAATAATCTTTGCATTTGATATAGTGCCGTATCACATCTTCGCAATGTCTCAAAGTGCTTCACAGAATATACTGTAAAGTGAATTGACTTTATATTTTGTGGGCAATATAAATCAAATAGTTTTTACTCCATTTGTTTTGCGCAAAAATAGAATTAACAATTTGCCTGGTATTGTACCATTGCCGACACTCTCAAACTCACTGTGGACCCATTTTGCAGCTTGGAGCAATATCCCTTGGGTATATGATCCCTGAAGATGAGCAGCCAATTATGTACTTCAACCAGGAGGTCAATGTCTGCAGTCATATTGTGTGGAGAAGGTTTGTTTCTTGAGATCACTACCTTAAGGCTGATCTAGGTTTAGAAATAATGAAGTGCTTCCCTGGAGCTATTGTACATACTTACTAAACTCAAGAGTTTGGTCTGTTTGTGGGATATTCCAATGCATAAAACTGGCTGCTGTGTTCGTCTACAAAATACATAATCACTGCAAACCACTTCCCTCCTACTTTCTTTCATTTTTTAAAATTGAACTTTTAATTTCAAATTTTTCTCCCAACATGCGGATTGGATTGCAAGTGGGTAATTTTTACATTTGAATTACTTGAGACCTAAATGATTGTACTACAACAATTCATCAGATGCATATCTTTCAAGGCTTATACTGATGGCTGAGTGTGGAAATGGATGATATTGTAAAGTACTGTATCCTTTTCAATTTCACTGGCAAATGACCAATGAATGAATCCAACAATTTATAGCTCAAAGTTAACAACCTTGGGTGAATGAATAATACTGTGCTGTAACTGATTTACTGCCAAAAAAAGGAAGAAAATTGACAAAGGTAGAGGATTATCTATTTCGAGTTGATATGTTTTTGTGTGTGCTGACAATACTTAAGACAACAACATTCATTCGACCTCGAGTGAGACATTAATATTCTTTTAATGGAAAGTCTAGCAAGAGCTGCACAACTTTGACCTCCATGAGCCACTGCTTGTCAGTTGCTTATTAAAAGATTGATTACGCGTTTCGCCCACAAAATATACAGTCAATTCACTTTACAGTATATTCTGTGAAGCGCTTTGAGACGTCACGTGATAAGGCGCAATATCAAATCCAAGGATTATTATTATTCCACACATTTTCCACCAGATTCACTAAATCTTTCAAGCAATCATTGGATGTATTTGGAATTACCTTCTGTACAGCAGCTCGCTTTTCCTGTTTAGCCTTAAATTCAGCGAGCAGTCCGCTGCCCATCACCTGCACTCCATATCGACGGCCACCTTGTGGGCTGCTCTTGGTTTCATTTTTGTCCGTCTTCCCAGCTTCATCCAGTGGAGCATCCACAGCATCAGGTGTTTTGTGCTCCTCGGTGTGCTCAGCACTGCCGTTCTGTTCTCCTTGCTTCGATTCCCTCTTTGTTAGATCTGTGGCTGGACTTTTCATAATTCCTTTTGGTGATGAGGGCTCCTCTGGGACAGACACTGTCTGTGGCCGCTCAGTTTTGCTGGAGCGTGACTTAATTAAGTTCAGAAACTGGATTTTTTGGAGTCTTTTTTCTTTTTGTCATCTGAATCGCCAGAATCAAGGGACTCCGAACTCCTCAGAGAAAGTCTCCTAAAACAGTAATTACTGTTATTATATATGCACCCTGTATATGTACTCTCGCATTCAACACACAAAATACTCCAAAGGCCACCTGCTACTGAAATATTAAAGGGCTGTCGAGACATTTTATTAATCATGCTTCCTAATACTAAGTATCTAAAATAATGTATAATCTGCTATGTTTTGAAGATTTCAGACACATTTCTTTGCCCACATTTTGAATTTATAATGTTCCGTGTCAATTTTAATAGGCAAGACATCAATCCTATTACTTTCAACTCTCTGTGGTCCCCCTTTAATTGGACTCAATGTAATTGAAACACAAGGACTTACTTTGATTCCATTCGCGTTATCTTCTTGGTAAAAAATTCATCCACTCCCTCATCAACTCTTCCCATAAGGCCGTTCTGTTCACCGTCCTGGGATGTTGCTGCAGAAAGCTGGCAGAGGAGTATTTAACATTAAGTTCAGAAATACTAACATCACAAGCAAAGCATTTATCAATATAAGTTAAATTTACACTTGGACAACTCTGTGCAGAATATCAGCTTTCGGCTTAGATCCTTGCTAACAGTGACTCCCATTTTAGCTACGTATTACCAATTTGTACATTTAGCCTGACTCCCTGCCTAGGTAAGCGATCCATTCTGAGGAAACTAATGAGGGAGAGCTACCTGCTCCACCTGAGTGCAGCTCCATTCATCTGAAGTGACAGAAAGGACACAAAAGGTGAGAGTTCACCAGAAAGAAAAACTAAGAAGGTTAATGTGTGTGAGTATGTGTGTGAGTGTGAGCGTCAGTGAGTATGTGTGTGTGAGTGTGTGTGTGTGTGAGTGTGCGTCAATGAGTGTGTGTGTGCATCAGTGAGTGCGTGCGCGTGTCTGTGTATGGATATGAGTCAGTGTGTGTGTGAGTGTGCGCCTGTATATGAGTGCGCGTTGGTGTGTGAGTGTGTGCACTTTGCAGGGGTGGTGAGTGTGTGCATCAGGGTGTGTATTCTTTGCATTTGTCGGGATGTGTGTGCATTCACCTCCCCTTGACGTACGTGTGTGTGTGTGTGTGTGTGTGTGGCTGCAGCTCAATGGTTAGAGCACTCGCTTTGCAAGCAAGAGACCAGAGTTCAATTCCAGGCAGAGGGCGAAACCTTGGGCAAGTTTCCTTACTCCACACAGAGCCTAATAATAATCCCTCCAAAACCCAAAACAATAATAAAACAATAATAAAAAAAATTGCTCATTTTCAATCTACGACTGTTTGTGGGACATTGCTGTGCGCAATTGGCTGCCGTGTTCGCCCACAAATATAGTCAATTCACTTTACAGTGTGTTCTGTGAAGCGCTTTGGGACGTCCTCCCGACGTGAAAAGCGCTATATCAAATGCAAGGATTTTTTTTTGATTTTTAAAGGCTATGAATTTGGAATGTTAATTGCCTACTTGTAGGTTTGATCTCTCTCTCATTTGCTGAATGTGAAATGCTCAAATGTTCTGTGAAGCATGCAGAGGCATTATCTTAGGTGACGGGGCCTATATAAACATAAGGTGTTGAATTTACAGATTGATTGAATCTTTGGACACTTTGGTCAGTTGTGTTCTTCCATACTCCTACTGTAGGCAAGGGCTTTAGCCCGGGACATCCGTTTGCTTTTTGAGCCAAAGAAGTAGCAGCAAAATGAAATAGGAACAAAAGAATTTTAGGGTTGTGTTTAGCTTCCAAGATGTGCAGATGTACTGCTGGCGGTTTATGAGGTAGGACTCGAACCAGGCGAGTGCGATCGCACTGAGGTGGATGACAGAGCAGTGAGTGTGAGGTGTTGGAGAAGAAGGCCGTTTTTGCACGTGTCAAAGAACGACGGTAGCTGTGGAGATGCTCAAGCCACAGTTGGCGGAGGACTGTCAGGCCAGTTTTCTGCCATCTGCGCTCGAGCAGCCGGGTTTGGGTTTTTTGGCGGCGAAGATGGTTGTTGTACCAGGGGGATCGGGTGGGTTTGGAGATGGTCCTGAATTTCAGGGGGACGAGAGAGTTGAAGGTGGAGGAGAGGCGATCATAGATCAGCTGGACAGCTGCTTCAGGATCTCCACGGGTGGAAGGCCAGAGGAATAGGATGTTTGATGATGCGAGGGCCTTTGTGAGGGTCTCAGGGGATAGGCTTTTCCAAGGGTGGTAGAGGATGGTTGAGGGCTTGGTGGAGGAGAGAGGGATGTGAGAGAAGGAGATGAGGAAGTGGTCAGAGATGGCCTTGTCCACAATGCTGAGGTCGGAAATGTCAAGGCCATGGATGATAACGAGACCAAGGGCATGACTGCGGTTGTGGGTGGGTGAGTTTATATGAAGGGTGAGGTTTAGGGAGGAGAGGAGGGCAGTGAAATCAGCAGAAGTAGTGCAAGGGAAGTTTAGGTGGAGGTTGAAATCGCCCATAATGAGCAGGCGCTCAGAGCAGAGGGACAGGGAAGAGAGTAGAGATGTCTGTGTGGAAGCAGCTGGTGGCCTTAGGGGGGCGGTAGACAAGGAGGATTTTCAATGGGAGAGAGGGATGGAAGATGGTGAGATGCTCGAAGGAGGGAAAGCAGCCAGAAGAGTAGGGGGTAAGACCAAGGGAGGCTTTGGAAATGAAGGCCACCCCACCGCCACATTGGTTTGGATGGGGGGTGTGGTGGAAGGTGTAGCCTGGAGGGGAGGCTTTGACTAGAGGGACGGGGTCATTGGGGGAGAGCCAGGTTTCGGTGAGCCCAAGAATGTCAAAGTGCTCGTCCAGGATGAGGTCGTGGATGGTGAGGGCTTTATTTGAGAAATTTGAGACATTTTGGAGGGAAATGCGGGTGGGTTTGCTGCAAATGAATCATACAAGTGGGAAACTAGGACTGAGATGCTTGGTCCACAACTGTGCTGAAATGCTAATTGCCCTTTGCTGTTTAACCATAAGTAATAATAATCCTTGCATTCGATAGAGTGCCTTATCACATCTTCGAGACGGCTCAAAGAGCTTCACAGAATACACTGTAAATTGAATTGACTGTGTTTTGTGAGTGAAACGCGCAGCAGTGCGTTTCAATTGCAATTGCGCACAGCAGTGTCCCACAAAGAGTCATGGATTGAATGACCAAATTATTATTATTTAATTTTTGAAGGGATTATTACCCATGGAAAAGCAATCTGCCAATCCACTAACAATCGGGTTTCTACTTACTACTAGGTAAACAGAGGCGTGTGGAGTAAGGAAACTTGCCCAATGTTTCGCCCTGCCCAGGAATCAAACCCAGGTCTCTCGCTTGCGAGGTGAGTGGTCTAATCACTAAGCTACAGGACTCCACTATTAAACTATTAATTACTGTATTAAACTGTTGCGTTCAAATGGCTTTATAAGCAAATAAGGAAAGAGATGTTGAACAAATCTGCAACATAACAGAAATACTGAGGCAGCTGTAAAGGTAAAAACGACCCACTAATGAAAATATATAAAATGAAATGACGAACAGAAGGTTCCTGAAAGTTACTTGTAAAGTGAATGTAAAATCTTTTACACCATCATTTCAAACTTGCTCACTGATGCAATCTCATAACCTAATCAGGGGCATTTCCAGAAGACAGACTAAGGGCATAGAATAATGCTCTCATGGTAAAAAAAAAGGTCTAAGATCACAACTTGGAGATTTTGTTTTGCAAACAACAGCAATATTCCCTTTGCTATCACTAATTGTGACATTTAATATTGAATTCTATTATCATTTTACACAATATTTTTCACGATAAATATTTCCTGCTTCACAACTAACCAAAAGTGACACTCTGCTAAGATGTACCTACTTACACTTTGCATGTTAAGACGCTAAACTACGAGTTCAAGACGCACTGAAGTTGATCACCTTTATCTGTACTAATGCAGCCTGTAATGTATCCATCTCATCACCATGTAAGGGGAGCTGAGCCGAGCTAACAGGTCAGTCATCAACAGTAAGATCTGCACTACCAAGGCTGACACTGAGGGCTGACTCGATTCTGATATTCCATTGCTAGGCAAATTACTCTGGAGTCAACTCGATCCCAAACGTCCTACTTACCTCCCTCAAGCAAGATGATCATTAGTTGGTTAATGGACATCTAATAAGTGCAGATTTGAGTCCTCACCAGGTGGATAGCAAAACACCTCGCAAACCACATGGTGAACAGCTCGACATAAACCCAGAGTATTACCACCCCAGGCATTACCACCATTCTCTGTCCCACAGACTGACACACATCCCTGTAACGCATTGTGCAGTGGTTCCACCAATTAGATTGTACAACGTTGGAAGAAAAATTATATAAAACAGAATGAAAAATGTGACATACAGAAATGGGAAGTGTGTCATGGTTGTTGAAATCAAACAATGGCTCTTTGGTTTTCTGAGGACTCACAGCGATCTTGCTCGGCGGTAATTTTTTGTTTCTCTTAGGTCTAGTTTTTGTGTAATGTTCCAGTTTTTTCCCCTCTTCTGAGGGGAGCTCTGTCATCATGCTGTTGGGTCGTGTTGACTTTTCGTGTTTGCTGTAAACACCCGAAGCAGGTGAGGAGTCATCAAGATGTACTGGGATGCCTTCTAGGGCTTTATCTAAGTCAAACTCCATCTCTGTGCACACACATAAAAGAACAGGATAGTGTCACAACTAAAGGGCACAAACGTATATACTGCAGAGTATTTGCACAGCAGAAAGGCTAAATACTTAGGAGATAGTTTTAAAGTTTAAAAACAAGCAGCTAATCGAACACATGACTAAAAAGAATACATTCCAGACTTAAACAACAGATTAAAATGTGGTGTGTCCCACGAGTATTTGGACAGTAAGGAGGTCATTTTTAAATTAATGTGGCATCGGCAGGATAATTCGACTGATATTTAGAAAATTAATAATCCCAAAACTAACTGTGTTCTTTTGAACGACTGCAAAGGTAAAACAATTCAAGAAAGTTTCAATCAGTTCTTCATGTATTTGGGCTGTTAATATTGGTATTACTACCCCATGGCCACAATCACATTTTCTCGTTGTCACAAATACTGAGATCTGCCATAGGCTCAGTGTGATGATGCACTGTTGTCAGTATCATAGAAATATACAGCACAGAAGGCAGTCATTTGGTCCATTGTGTCAGTGCTAGCACATTTAAAAGCAATCTTTTCAGTCCCATTTATCTGCCCTTTCCTATGTTATTCCTGTAGTTGACTCCTTTTTAGGTACTTATCTAGTTCCCTTTTGAAATCTAATATGGATTCTGCCTCAAATACCACACACCTCAGGGCAGGGCGTTGGTGCGTGAGAGGCACTGGTGAGAGGCTTTACTGCAGAATCCTTCCACTAGCAACAGAGCCATTCTATTGTATTTAAATTTCTCTGATTGGCATTAATTTCTCTGGGGGCTTTAAAAATGCTTGTTCATTTATAGAAACCTATAAGATCATCAAAGGGCATGATAGAGTAGATGGTGGGAGATTGTTTCCCCTGGTTGGAGAAACTAAAACCAGGGGTCACAACCTTAAAATCAGAGGCCAGCCCTTTTGCACTGAGTTGAGGAAGAACTTCTTCACTCAAAGGGTGATGAATATATGGAACTCACTACCCCAAAGGGCTGTTGACGCTCAGTCCTTGAACATATTCAAGACTGAGAAAGATAGATTTCTTATTGCAAAAGGGATTAAGGGATATAGGGATAAGGCAGGGTTAGGTTATTAGCTGGAGTTAGATTAGAAAATCAGCCATGATTGAATTGCGGGGCAGGCTCGAAGGGCTGAATGGCCTACTCTGCTCCTACATGTTATGTTATTCTTGCTTCCATCATTTTGATAAGTTAAACCGACATCTCATTTGTCTGTTCAGGTGAACATTAAAGATCCCATGATGCTATTTGAAGGGAACAAGCTTTTTCCTTGTGTCCTGGCCAACAGATTAATTGGTCATTTACCTCATTTAATTGTTGCAAACAGTTGCTCTGTTTGCAAAAAACATCACTGCATTTGACAGTCATTACTTGTGAAGTGATTGGATACTTTTCAACATGATAGGGGGCTTTAAAAATGCTTGTTCATTTTTCCTTTTACAGTATATGCTGCACAGTATATCCTGTGCAGCTCTTTGAGATATTCTCTGAGACGTTGTTATATTAAATGTAAGGATTATTATTATAAAAGTGGTACCAAACTTTATAGAATCAATCTACAAAAGATGAGACCATTGTAAACCCTCTGAATTAAAGAAAAGCTAGTTGAATAACTTCCTTGTGAGGCAGCATTCAGATCTGCTGTAGATAACAGGAATGAATGAATGAGGTGCGTTTCAGAATGAAGCATTTATATACAGTGGAGGTGAGGAAAATCACGACTGAGGGGATCATGTTGCCAAACTTTTAATGCAAGTTTCTTCCGAGTGACCTTCTTTCTACCCATTCAATTTGTAGATCTTGGAAGAACTGCACATCTTCAAATTTGCTTTTATACTATTAATGTTCCAATGTTAGCAGTGAACCAAAGAAGCCATTCTCAATTCAACTCACTGAATAAAAATGATGCATAAATACCACAGTCCTCAAGTCTCTGGACTAGAATATAAAGCACAACAAGGTAGAATTGTATGTTTTGTTTTGTGAATTTTTGTGAATAAGTCTTTTTTAAACTGTTTTAATAAAGAAATGTTATTGCATAGTCCATTTAACAGACTTTGCTTATTAATAAATAATAATTCTTGAATTATATATAACGCCTTATCACGTATCTCAAGGCGCTTCAGAGAATCTACTGTAAAGTGAATTGACTGTATACTTTGTGGGTGAAACATGGCAGCCAGTAGCGCACAATTTTGTATTTATTTATTCAAACTAAAGAACAGCTCTGAACAAATACATCTGCAAACTGCCTAAATTTAATCCTTAAGAGAGTTTGCTGACATGCATTCATGTTTGCGGGCATAAGAGCTATTTTGAAGACTATTTTCTCGGTTTGAAGTCAGACGGTTACTACTCATGAAAGAGTAGTGAATGGAGGAGTATGGGGAGAGGCTATGGAGGAGGAATTAGGATGGGTGAAAGCTCATATGGAATACAAACATCGGCAGAGACCAGTTGGGCGGAATGACCCATCAATAAGTTGCAAAAATGGTCAACTGACTACACCAATTGAAATTTACAATGTAATTTGAGCTGTTAGAGATTGTAACATGAAGTGACCCAATACAACTGAGAACTAACTTGACTTTGTAAGTTGCTCCCACCGTCCAAAACAGATGATTGGAACTGGAAGAAAGATCAGAAAAAAAAGTAGAAAGAGTTCAGGGAAAGACCAAAAAGGCTTGGGTAGGTAGAAAATAGAAAAAAACAAATATAAATAGAACCAAGAAGCAAACACAAATATAAATCAGAAAAAAAATAGAATTTTAAAAAATGATGATGGGACAATTACATGAAAAAGTTTTTAAATAATTTATAACTGCTTTTTTTACAATCATAAAACTATTCTGATCAATGTAGTAGCTTATTGTTTTCAGAGTTACAATGCATGAGCTAAAGATGTACTGAACTGTCATTCATCAGACAAGATTCATTGACCTGCTGAAAGCTCTCGTGTGGAGTACGGTAAGACCAACAGCACTTTGGCAAACAAACAGAAGATGGTGCTGTTTGCACAGCTAGCAACTCCCTCGGGTATGGAGCACAAGGTTAAAATAAAAAAAAGATGCTTAATGGGAACTGTCAGGACTTGCTTCCTACAGATGCAATTCTGTGGTTGGCTCCAATATGAAAAATCTCAGAGATATTTTAAGCCTTTAAGAATGCAGATTTAATTACAGAATACTCCAATTACCGCCCTGGGACCAGATTCCATTCAACACAAACAATGTGGGAAGCACAGAACTCAAACACAGTTACAGTTCTCCTTTCTGGTCCCATTTTCAAATATCATTATTTGTCCCCTATCTTACAAACATCTTTAATTATTAAAAAAAAAGTATCTAATCCCTGTTTGAAACTGCCAACGCCGTATCAGGTACAACGACGACAACAACAACTTAAATTTATATACTGCCTTTCAAGCGAAGTAACGTCCTGGAGCGCTTGGTACAGTGTAAGGCTAGAATAAGGTCTGAAAGAAAGTCAGTGAAAGTGAGATAGAAAGAGCAAGTCAGAGAGAGACAGAGTATACAGTGTATACAGTGTAGTACTATAGTGACAATGTAATCTTCTGATAGAGGAAGTTTTGGGTTAACACTACAGTCAATTTGAATTTTACATGATAACTTGTTATCTATATCATTTCTACATCCACCAAAAGGCTGGTCCTAATTAATGCAGATAATAGGCCCTCTACTATCATTAAGTCTAAACTATCCATTGACCTGAAGTTGAGGACCTACAAAATATACAGTCTTCACTCTTCCAAATTTTGGGCTCACGTGACTCCAGAGATGGGTATTGTAACCTTGGCTAAACCATTCTTCTCCAATCTTGGTCTTTTGGTAAACTTTCCAATAATTTATTTCATTGTGCTAACTTTGTGACGATTTCATTTTCAGCAAGTGGGACATTTAGAAAAGAACTTTGAAGAAGGTATGTGAATAAATAAAGTTCACGGCAACAGATATTTACCAAAGGCTCTGGAAACTGGGCGCAGCATTCTGCTGTGGATACTTTTCCTCTTCGATTTTGGTGTCATCTGTCAAATATAACAGGTACTTGTTAAAGCAGAAATTACATATTCTAAAATGGATGCATCACGTCTATTGATTAAAAATCATTATTAGCTACATTAACCTCTCGTGAGATAAACTGTATGAAACGTGTTATATACAGTGGAGCCCTGTTATAATGCGGTAGTTGGTTAATAACAAGTCACGATAGCTAAGTTTCACTGTGCATGTGTGAAGCGAGCTGATTCACTCCCTGCATATGCTGGCTGGTTCCTGTGCTGAATAAGCCGACTTCTGGCACAAGTCACTGCCAATATGACTACGTTACTTTTGTGTATTGCACCTTTGCCAAAGCAGGAAGTGACATAGACAACAACCTGGTCACCTAGAAATTGGCCATTTTTAAGCTCATTGTGCACCGTGTAGAAAGTGACATCCGTGGCGACCGAATAATCTGGAAATCCGCCATCGACAAATCGAGCCAGCTGGCGGGCAGAAAGTGAATGTGTTCCACATTGAATTCACATTGTAATCAAATCACTATAAAACTGTAAAGTAGTGTGTTTCCACAGAGTGGCACTTAAAGGCAAACTCCTGTTTGCTACTTTCTCACAATGAGTGGAAAATATGAGTATACAATTTTGCACAACGATGAGACAAAAAATACTTCAGAAAAGCTTTTGACACTTTTACTGCCCAAAACATTTAATTTCAACAAGATGTATTGTTGAACTGTAATACAGATCACTTTGAACCCATTCTCTATCAGTTGTTCATACTCAAAGAAATAATATTTTTCTTTGAGACGTTTGCTTTAATCAACATCTCACTCCATGCAGCGTTCGAGGCCAACAAACTGTAACATTTGGACATATCTTGCTCATAAAGATTGACAACTCCAAAACACGTCAAGTTATTACAGCTTTGTAACCAAAATATATGAACATCAAGGCTACAAATTAAAGATTGTGCATTTACAAAGAGATAAAAAATACACTTGCCTAATGCATATACGTTTACATTCTCAGACAATACAATTAAATATTCTGCCAAACTAAGAAAACAGTAAGAAATTATATTTGAGATATCATTTCCCATTGACCAAGGTTTTTCTTTCTTTTCAACTGTCTTTCAGTCACCTTCCTCTCCATCAACTCTCACCACCTCACAGCTTATATACCTGGTCACCTGCGTGAAGCTCTTTGAGACGTCCTCTCAATGTGAAATTTATATCAATGTAATAATTGTTGTTATTGTTAAAGACACCAAGGCACGCAGGCTGGAGGCTTAATTCTTGTTGTGTTCTAAGTAAACTTACCTCTGCTGGGGCACCTTCCTTGGCTAAACACTGCTAAGAAAAAGAAAATGCAACTGCCAGGAATCCAGCTCCTGTTCATTATGGAGGTCAGAAAGTATACATGTGGACATTGGGCTCGTCTGTGATGCCCTCCATTGTTGCTAATACTTTCTGTGCTCACATACGGAGAATGGCCACGAGAGTGAAGGACTGGAGGCAACCAGCCCATATGGAATTGGGTTATGAAAGTCTCAACTGTAAGTTTGAGACAAACATGGAACAAGGTGATTCTGGGCCTGTTCTAACCAAGGGAATGTCATACAAGGAATGCAACTAGAGTAGAACACTAGATTGATAGCCTGGAAATTTAGCACCTCTTTGAAGCCAGGCAGAAACCTTATGCATTTTCCCCTTTTGGATGTGTTTTCTATAGTTATAAAATTAATGCTCATAACAGTACAAATCGTATGCTGCTCCAGGAATGGATGCCGTTTGATCATAATCCTTAAGATAAATAAATTGTCGTGCAAATAGAGAGTGACTTACAGTGAGTTACTGCCTCTTTAAACAACAAGCATTGGAATAAGCCCTGCTGTTCATTGTGGGAAATGGAGGTTAATATGAAAGACAGCCTGGGCACCAGTCTCCAATTGTTTGTCAGCCAAGAGTTATCAGGAGTCCTTTGTAATGCTTTGCAGAGAAGATAAATGTTTTGCATATTGGCACAAGCTACATCCACAGCACAATAAGAATATGTTTCAAGATTACTTTAATAGCTTATAGCCAGGTGAAGAAAAGCACAGGATTTGCATAATGGTGCTAAAATGGGTTTATCTATTTTATCATCGGAAGCTCTGTTAATCCTCAAGGTCTTTGCATTAGCATTTTAAAAAATTCTATACATCTTACATTTCAGATAATGGCCTATACTGGTACTGTTTCTACAACATCTGATAAAGTAGTGTAAAAATCAAGAGAAAGTATACTTTTCAATGAGAAGGATTACTTTTATTTAGATACATAAAACTCAAATGGTGGGTTAAAGTTTAACTTTCAAATGTTCATATTAGCACTGGCCTTTCTGAACACAAAACAACATTAATTGGAGTGAAAACCACCAACAACAAATTGGATTTATATAGCGCATTTCACATCGGAAGGATGTCCCAAAGCACTGGACAGTTGAGGGTTTTCACCCAAGCTAGGGGTTGGAATCAAGAGGGTTGCAGGTTGGGGGGAGTGGTGGTAGGAGTCTGGCTGAAAGTACGGTCAACGAGTAAGGTCTTGAGACAGGCCTGAAGGATGCAAGGGAAGGGGCGAGACATAGGGATGGATATCCAGAGGGTGGTGGTAGAAAAGCTGAAGATCCGACCACCAATGGTGGGGCGGGCAGAGCGGGGGACATGGAGCAGGCCAGTGCCTGCTGAATGGAGGGAGGAGACAGGTTAGTATGGTGTTAATAGGTCGCAGAGGTAGGAGGGAGCATGCCCGTGTAGAGCTTTAAAAGTAATGAGAATTTTAAATTCGAGCCTCTGAGGAATGGGGAGCTAGTGGAGCCCGGCGAGGATGGGGGTGATCGGTTCATTCTGGATAATCTGCAGTTTGTGGAGGAAAGAGTTGGGAAGGCGAGAAAGGAGTTTGTGTAGTTGGGCACGGACATGATGAATGCATGGACGAAGGTCTCAACAACAACAACTTGTTCCACGCAAAGTGCTTCAGAGTGCTTAACAGAGCTTGATTCCGAGCCGGGAGTGGGGGGGAGGTGACTGTAAGCACGGTCGAAAACGAAGGTTTTCAGGTGGGACTTGAAAACGGGGAAGAGGAGGCAAGGCAGAGGGACTGAGGCAGAGCGTTCCAGAATTTTGAGGCTTAGTGGCTGAAAGCGCAAACTTCAATGGTGAAACGGAGAGTGCGAGGGACAAGTAGGAGGCTGGTGCCAGTCGAGCAGAGGTGCTGGGTGTTGGATTGGGGAGTGAGGAGGTCAGAGAGGTAGAGAGCTGCCAGGAAGTGAAAGGATTTGAACACGAGTGTGAGGATCTCAAAGTAGATCTGTTCAGTGATGGGGAGCCAGTGGAGCCTGGCCAGAACTGGTGAGATGTGGGTACGGAGTTTGGTCCGGGTCAGTATGTGAGCGGCAGAGTTCTGAATGAACTGAATTTTTTAAATAGTGGAGCTGGGGAGACCGGTGAGGACTGCATTTGAGTAATCCAGGCAGAAGGTGTCAAAAGCATGCATGAGGGTTTCGGCTGCATTTGGGGTAAGTTACAGTCGGAGGTGGGCAATGTGGCGGAGGTGGAGGAAGGCGATCCTGGTCAGGGATCAGATGTGGGGAAGGAAGGACAGCTGTGGGTCGAACCAGACTCCTAGATTGTGTACTGGTTTGGTGAATCTGAGGGAGAGCCCAGGGAAGTTGAAGAGTTCAGATCTGCAGGAGTGAAGACCTTGACGGGAGCCAAGGAGTATGGTTTCCATCTTATCCACGCTCAACTGCAGGAAGTTTACACTCATCCAGGCCCTGATGTCTGCCAGACAAGCTAATAGAACATCAGAGGACCTGGAGTTGGTACTGGAGGAGGCAAAGTAGATTTGTGTGTCATCTGCATACATGTGAAGGTTTACCCTGTGTCTGCGGATGACATCGTCCACAGGGAGCATATAGATAAGGAAAAGAAGAGTGCCAAGGATGGAGCCCTAGGGTACCCTGCAGGTGACAGGCAGGGGAGGAGGAGAAACCATTTGCTGAGATGAAATGGAGGCGGTTGGTTAAGTAGAACTTGAACCAGGTGAGTGCGATCCCACTAAAGTGGATGAGGGAGGAGAGGTGGTGGAGGAGAATGGAGTGGTCGACTGTGTCAAACGTGGTAGAGAGATCCAGGAGGACAAGAAGGCAGAGGGAACCTTGGTCACAGATAAACAAGACACAGTTTGTGACTTTGTCTCGGCATTGCCTTCACTAACCATGCCAGCTAAAATAAAAGCAAGCAGTCTCAAATGGCTCTTAAGATTTCAAGAAGCCACATGTTCAAATAGAAGTGACATGAGTTGGCATAAAACAAGATTGAAATCCCCATAGGCGTTACTTGCTAGATAATGGTTTGATTTTCCAGACGTAGTGAAAATGGATACCAACAGAATATTGAACTTCTGACCAAAAGAAGCTGATATTCTTTCAAAGAGGGCCACACAGAGAAAGGTCACCATTCTCAGCATACGGTAAAAGCTGCAGGTGTAACTCCCTAATATTAAAGCAAGGCACACACTGAAATTATCATTGTGTACAAATAAAGAGGTTACTTTGCTTCTCTCTTTGCAAAAAACTCAAGAGATTTATCGATGTCCAATGGCTGGACAGAAGCTTGCTATGACAAAACGTGCCTTGCAAACAATGCTGACAGTTTGTGCAAAATGAGTTTCATGGTTGAACCCATTATTGCACAATTGCACAATAGTATCTATCCCACAATTCTTAGATAAGAAACTGTTGTGGAGTCCTGTAGTGTTTTGGTTAGAGCCCTCGCCTCATAAGCAAGAGGACCAGGGTTTGATTCGCAGGGAGGGCAAAACCTTAGGCAAGTTTCCTTAATCCACAAGCCTTTGAACCAAGGATCTGCTGTGAGAACCAGGAGGGAACTAGGCTGGCTCTGTAAGTGTTTACATTTAATTATTCTAAGAGTTTAATAACTTGACAAATAAGCATAGGATTTCCAAGCTTCGTATTTAGGAATGCCA